CTCTAGGGACGTGGCCGAGCCTTTCCTTTCAGGCCCTGCCTGGGGGCTCCGGCTCAGCCCTGTCTCGGTGCCTTGTCGGCGCCTGGCCCGAACGCCGTGTCTTGTTTCCCCGGCAGCAGCTACCAGAGGGAAAGGGCAGCGAGCGCTGCGCGAAGCCCTGGCATCAACCCTTAGTGAAGGTACTCACAAAGCAGCGGGCAGCAGTGCTAGCTCATTCCAACGCAGCAGGCGCGAGCAGGCCATTAGACTTCGCTAGAAAGCGGGCCTGAGAGCAGCAGATTTTGGATCCTGAGCCCTGTGAGGATAAAGCCAAGTCACAGCTGGGCTTCCCACGCCTGGCTAACTTGTGCTGGCCGCTGCCAGTCCTGATCAAAGATTAATGAAGAGCCACCAGCTCGTTCTCAGCAGGCATTCTCATGCCTCTCAGTGCCCGGACATAAGAAGCTCTGTGCTAGAAGTCTCTGTGTGTGACTTGGGGACAGAACCCTGCCCCCAGATATGCAAAGGACAGAGGCTTAGATTCCCAGGAACAGGTGAACTCCCTGAGAGTGAGTAACAGGGCCTCACCTGCGGTTTCTCTCTCTGTCCTTGGCCACTGGGGAAGGGAGCACTTGCTCTCCAGTAAATATTCTCTCTCTCAGAGCACCTACCAAAGAGAAATTGAGCCCCTGTGAGCAGGAGGCAATGGCTGTCACTGAACTGCCAGAGCAGCGCTGCTTGGTAACCTGCTGTACCCTGCCACAGCAGAGCGCACCAGTGTCCAGTGCCAGCCCTGCCCTCTCCCACGCTGCCAAGCCACCCAGGCCAGCAGAGCTTTGTCCCACGTAGGGAAGAGCTCTCCGATGCTGACACCCGCCGGATAGCCACAGGATTGCTGGGGCCTGTGCAGGTGGACCGACACGCTGTTTGGCTTTGGACTGCGGAGCACTGCTGCAGCAGCTGTAAAGCATGAGTTAGTTGCTACAGTGCAGGGTGCTGTCCCTGGTGCAGGTCTGGAGGTGAAGAGGAAGTTTAAAAAAAAAAAAACACACAAACCAAAAACCAGCAGAAACACAAGATACTGATCTCTCCTCCTCAGCTGTACACATGCCCTGAGAGCCACTTGCCAGACAGGGCTAATGTCAGGCCTGTGGGGATTTTTGTATTGCTCATCGGCCAAGTCACGTCAGGGCTGAGTGTCCGCACTTACCTCAACCCGTCCCCAGCGCCTCACGCTGTTACTGCTCCAGCCGGCATCAATCTTCATCTGGCTGGAAAGGCTCTCAGCCTGCAGGAAGGGATGCGCTGGCCCGGCGCACCCAGGCACTGTAAATTTCAGTCTGGAGTCGGACAGCTTTCGGCAGCTCTCCATAGGGATCTCCTGGGACCCCGCTAGGCCAGGACACAGCTGTGGGCTGTTAACTCCTGCACGGCTTTGCGGTACAGCAGGGCCATCCCTACACTGAATATCCCAGCCCAGGGACACAGCGTAGACACCCGCACACAGGGTTTTGAGCGGAGGGCTCGCTTACCCTCGCCGCGTGCCTCCGCCTACGCTACAGCAGGACCTGGAGGCCCAGAACCCACCGATGTTAAACCCTATGCAAGCAGCACAAAGCGGCGATTCGTTTCACAGCCCCCAGTGCCTGTCCTCACTGCCTGCACTGACGCTACAGGAAAAGAAACATACCTGCCCGGTCGCTGCTTCGGCAAGGCAGGCAAATCCGCCGGAGAGGCTCCTCGGTACAGCCGAGCCCTCCGCAGCACGGCCAAGCGTGGCAGCGGGATTTGGCTCTGCCATCTCGGCGGGAGGCAGTGGGAGGCACGGTCCCGCGCAGCACGCACAACGCATCTATGCACGATGGTAGCAAAAAGCAGCAGAGGGTTATGTCAGGTAGCCCCCCCACCCCAACTAATGAGCCTCTGCACCCCCAGGCTCCCTCCTGTTTGGGCCTGCGCAAAGGCCCTCCCGCAGCACGCCCCGTCACCCCTGGCCTCCCAGCCCCGCAGGGCCCCCGTCGCAACCACCTTTACCAAACACCACTGCCCTTCTGCTGGGCGTGGGCCAGGACACCAGGAACCCCCGCAGCCAACGGACCCGACCCGTCCAGAGTCCCACACTGGCCAGATTGACTCTGGAATTTGACTGCACTACAAAAGGAGGCTTTGCTCAAAGAGGCAGAAAACAAGCAGCGAAGTATTTGTCATTTTGCCGAAAAGCTCTCACGGGACAGGATTCAGGAAAAGAATCCGTCCCTTAACAGCCACAGTGAAATGCTTCAAGGAATGTGCAAACAGCTTTGTGTTTGCTGCCCATCCTGTGAATGCTGCTTTGCCCCCCCTTGAAATCGCCTCCTCTGTGCCGCAAAGACTCACCCTGGTCGGCTGCACCTTCAGTCGCTCTCTGCTCTGCCACACCAGGCCCTCACGGCACTCTTTTCCCACCCTGACACACCTCCAGCTCAGAGGAAAGGCTGCTTCTCCCCGCTCCCTTGTCTGGCTAACGCAAGGTCTGCTGGGCCCCTCCTAGGCGAAGCGTGCTCACCTCTGTCCTCTTTCAAGAGCAGCCCCGCTTCCCTGTGAGACAACATTTTACAGAAAAACCCGCTTCAAAAGAGAGCACAAAACTCCTTTTTGACCTGCAAGCCATTAGCAGCAAAACCTTCTGTATTATGTGCAAATTCCCTCTCGTAACCGCGACCCTCTCCCAGCAGAAAGCTGCACGCCGCACGCACCTTGCCTGCTGCGGACCTTTCACAGGCAATGGCGAGCAGCGAGCTCTCTGCGCCCCACGCCAGCGCCTCACCCTGAAGATTTGCCCACTCCCTGTAACCTGCTGCCTCCTGTTCTGGCCACGATCTTGGCCTGAACCTTCGGAGCAGCAGCAAACCCACACCACCCTCAGAGCTGGGTGCTGCAGAGCTGGGCGTGCTGTCCTGCCTCCCGAGCACCCAGTGCCAGAGGACGCCGGGCCAAGGAAACACTAAAATCTAGTAAGAGCCAACACGGACAGACTTTGCTATGGTTTTTACTGTAACGCAGCAAAAACTAGCACCACCTTTCTGTAGCCAGGGCACAGTCACAGGTAAGAAAGGTAAGGAAAACAGTATAAAACCGTCAGGTTGTAAATGAACTGTTTCCGAGGCAACGCGGATCCCGCAACAGCTGCTCTGTTCCACCCCAAGGGCATTAGTGCGATGGAAGCAGAATGTGGATTTTTCAGGTAAAAGGCAA